AAATTTTATACAGAACCTGTTTGGTGCAACTGGTTTATTATAGGAGAATTTCTAAATGAGAAATGTAGAATAAAGTGCTTTTAATGAACTATCTCGATTGTAAGCTTAGATATGGTTTATTCTTCTAAATGAACAGCACATCACAGGTGAGCAGTTTGAGTCGTGCTTGAAAGTTGAAAATTGGATGAATTTTTTCACAGTTTACACAGTTTCATCCTCTGATAAATAGTATAAGTTAGCAGATTTCTCAAACATAAAATGCCTTTCAAACTCATTGGTATGTTTGGGAGTTAAAATCAAACCATAATTTAAATACTGACATTGACATTTTTGCGTCAGTGCTCAGTCACTCAGTTATTGGTGAGGAGCTGACTTCATGCCATGCTTTTCCTCATTTGCATTTGTTTCTGGGGTATTGTTTGGTACTTGGGGTCACGCCTTCTGATTTAGGAGAGGATGCGAATGAGTAACAGCTAAAAAAATAAGGCAAAATGATGAGTTTCATGTAAACAGGACGTCCTGACATAATGACACGACAGATACACACACACACACACACACACACACACACACACACACACACACACGGTGCTGTTGTTAACTAGTTGAGCAACAGAAAAATTGACTATTCTGGAGTTCAAATATTAAAGATTTAAGCAAAGATGATGCACTGAGACACCCTCAAAACCTGAAACAACCAGTTAAAATGTGGTAATTGTAAGATGTACTGATCCCTCACCTCAGGCAACTGTGGGATCTGAATCAGCCTCTTGAAATACTGCAAGTTACTGGAGCGATAGAACAAACTCTTTAGCCTGAAGGAGAGATATGATGAGAGAGAGGAAGAGACAGAAAATCAGCGTGAGAAGGGCAGACGAAGCAGAAATGTTTGACACTGTGAATTCATTCAACACGATACTAAGAGCTCAGTCATCTGGGTCACGCTCAGAGGAGCTGTGACCAACTGGTTTTCTGCCTGAATGTGCGACTGCAAGTGAACTCACTTCTTAAACTGCTCCTGGAAGCGATCTCTGTGGCCCTGCAGAGTGTCAGCTGGAAGGCCTGCAAGAAACACAAATGAAACACAAACACATCAGTGTTCAGGAACTATCCATATACTTACACAGATACAGCATGAACACATGTTGAACGCACACTTGTAGGATGGGGGTTGAGGCATACATCACCGCTGGCAGGTGAAAGTCTCCAAAATCTCCAAACGGTCGACTTATTAGAAACTTAAAAGAAAAAGCTCTTCCAAGCCGAGCTGCATGTTTGACTTTATCCGGCAGCGCTTTGAAAAAGTTTGAGGAGCCCAAGAAGTCTGAGAAATGCTTTAACTTGGAGAGGAGCATGTCATCTTTCAGTCTTTGAAGGAAACTGTCACAGAATTCATGGATTCACATAAATTATGTCTGTACAGCAGAACTTTTAGGGCTAAAGTTGAAGCTAGAAACTCAACAGCTAAATGCAGCGCAACCGAGAACCACTCATATGACCACATTTGTTCTTCTGTGGTGTGTGCGAGTGATTCAGCAGAATGTGTAAAAGAAAGTTCTTTCTTTCCACTGTCACCAAGGGCTTGTCCAAAGGGAATTGTTGGGTTTCTCTCTATATTATTGTGAAGTCTTGATCTTAACATCTAAATAAGACATGTACATTTGTAATGTTAATGTTATTTCTCAATAGGAAAGCCCTTTGGGTCAACCTCCATTTTAAATGTGCCGCATACATAACGCAGATTTGTCTTTATGACAAATGAATATTATCATGTGTATTTTATTGGCATTTTTTGAGATATGTTGGCAAATGTAACCTTCGGCTTGAATTTCTTTCTTTCTTTCTTTGTTGTTGAAGTTCTTGCATCCAAATAACGTTCGAATTCAAATTCCATAAAACCTCAACCGATGACCAACGATAAAAACAAAGTTCATAAACCACAGATGCACTTCATATGGCATACTTGGTCTGTCTACTTAAGTATGAACTACAGCTGACTTCTCAAAGTACATGCTATTTCATGCAGTAGCCATTCTACTTCATCAATGCATCTTAAATTTTTTAGCTCAAGTTGTCACTAACATACTCAGGCAAGGTGTTGTGACATATGTGATGTAACTGGGCAGAGAATTATGGGTAAAAATGATCAAAAAAAGCATGCTGGCTTGCAAACTGCAAAATCTAAACAGCTCTAATAGGACATGCAGGTATTTTTTGCATATTGCATTTGAAAATCTGTGTTGGGACATACAGCCATCAGCAAATGTATTCATATCCTCCTATTAAAGACGGAAAAAAACAGCTAACACTGAAATACGTTGAAATTGATAAAAATAAAAATACATAAAAAATTGCTGAAAATCATGACATTGCTTTTCGTGTACCTCAGAGATGTTCACAAGTCTTTTTTTGCAAGTCCAAGTCAAGTCTCAAGTCTAAAAAATAAATGTCTCATGTCTCTTCCTGTTTCAATGAGCTTTCTATCATCTGCTGCTCTTCGGTCTACTAAGAATACTGCAAAGCTATATCTAAGAAATACAAAGCATCTCCTCTATTATTATCCCTCCTTCATCTATGAGCATAAAGTACCAGCACTGATTAGCTGTTTGTTATATGATCACTTTAAACAGGGTCCTGCAATGCAAGATGAAGAAAACACACAATTAATGATTTCCTTTAAAGGAAATCGTGTTCTTCCAGCGTGAACATACAGTTAGGATATATCCTGCCCCCGATTGTGCAGGCTCAGTCGGACCACAGTAAGAACAAACATACAGAAAATGTTACACCTCACCCAGTCAAAGGCATTGGAGGCTAATTAGCATCCTTCTAATTAGTGCAAAGCATCACACTTGAGCTAAATGCAAACAACTTGTGAACAAAACACTCAAAAGAACTTTAAACACTTGTATCTGTTACTTCTGTGTCATTTGCAATTTTAAACAAATTGTTCACAAACAACAAAAGCAGAACTATTGCCGCCACATTATCTGAAAAATCCTGTAAGTCTATAAACTGGTGATATCAAAACATGACCAGTTTGGTTCCTAAAGGCACCTTTCTTTGCAGGACAAAAATGATTCCTTGCATAAAAGTAAAACTCTAAAAGAATATCATTGGACTTATTGGCTGTCTGGACTGGTTTACTAATGAAACAGTGACTTTCTGTGGAAACAATCAACAGTGTTGTTTTGCTGAGAACAAAAGATTTAACAATAATAATAAACCTACAGTAAGATCAGAATGGTTTATCTTACTTTCCTCTTAATACACTGGCTAAACATAAACAAGCTTGTAGGTGTCTTCCAGAGGCCTACTGTCAGACCTAGAAAAGTATCAGGCAACAGAATGGTGACATTTCAGAAAGATCAAGCTGGACAATGTCCTTGCACTAAGCCTGGCTCAGTGAGGGCGCATTATTAGGCCTCCTTGACTGAATACCCCCTCCACTGGTGCACTGGTGGCAGGAACAGCGAGCACTCTCATAGCCACAAGACAGAGCCTTGGGAAGACTTTGGCATGCCTCTTCCACAAACCTAGGCAGTCGCTCATTTCAATGCAACCGCCTGTAAAACCACATCTCCAAATTAAAATGAATGCTGTTATTGACCCTTATGGAGTGTATATAAAGTTTGACCTCTGTTGTAAAGATAACACTCTCTAGTTTTAGCCAGAGCAATCACAATCATTCCAGGTGCTACCAGAAAAGAGTTTTTCTATTTCAATCACCACAGAAAAAAAATATTTTTTTGATCCTCACCTAAGTTTTTTCTTGAAAATAAAGGAGCATAAAGCAGCATTAGGAGGTGGGAACTAAAACACACTGTAATCAAGTGTTTTCTGTAACTCTCAGTCAGACTTCTGCACCTGTTGACAGGTATTCTGGTATAAGTGCTCTTACTTGTCCAGGACAGAGACTGAGTGACGATTGTGAATTTTGTCTTTTCTCCAATCGAAGGGTATGAATTAATTTGAGAACGACTGTACTATGTATTGTGGCTTACTACATGGTTCTCTGCCATCCTGTAGAGCATGGTAGTGTGGCTAACGGAACACAGCTCCTCTGTTTTCGACACTGTGTCATACATAAACTACCAGCATAGGAGGAATTTCCCTTTAACTTGGAGTCAATAAATGCGAATCACCAACATTAGAGTTAACAAGGTTTTCGAATCACTCCAGAAATATTAAAAAAATGCAGGATATTTGTACTTGGACCACAAATATTGAGCACTTGTTACTGAGGCTGTAGTTGTGCAGTTTAACAGGCAGAGGTGTGTTTTTGTGTGTGACTCACAGGAGTGCAGCTTAAACAGCAGCTTGACGGTGTAGTCATACAGGTGGCTGCAGTCCAGGATGACTTGGATGAGGGGAGCCAGACGACACTGACCCGCCGCCGTCACCGACACCGACCGAGACATGTCCAGAGAGCTGAACACTGTGAGGAGACGGAGACCCAATCAATAAAAGTAGCCTTGAAACCGACAAATGCACACAGACTTGTATGAGCACACATCAAACACACACACACACACACACATTTTCACGCACATCAATCACATATTATTCACAACTCAATCAACTTGCGCTACCATACTTTGTATTCATTTCACTGCCTTGGCCATAATTAACAACTAAGCAACACACAGCTCACTCTTGTTTTTTTGTTTTTTTTGTAAAAGGCAGGAAACAGGTTTTTTTTTTTTTTTTTAGTGAAGCAGAGACGGATCAGCAACCTGAACACTAACAGGATTGTATGACTCCCTCTCTGCCTGCCCCTCTTTCATTTCCCTGCTGCCCTGCTCACAACATCCCCAAAGTCAGACCCTGAGAGCCTCCGAGCAGAGCAGAGGCGTGGTTTCCTGCACGGCTACAAAACACAGACACCTCGAGCCTGGCCTCTTTACCCCCAGATGACGTGATGCTTTTAAAATACACCAGACCAGAGAAGGAAGCTGACGGCAGCCTTGAGAATTGGGTGTGAGGTCGTCTGCCAGCAGCTCTCACACGCGGCGGATTTCTTTGTTTGTATATAAAACGCTGCATCTGATCATGGAAGGCATCAAACTTGCAAAAAATATCGAGTCGTAAGAAGGGAAAGCTGCACATTTTGTCTTGAATGCTAACGGAGAAATATGACTTTGGCAAATAACTCCATTTCTCTAGAGAGACGAGGAGGAGCAGGAGGCGGAGGGAGAGATAATATCATCATGAGGACGCAGAATGAAGGGCATGATAAATAGAAAGCAGAATGTAATTTCCTCCTGATCACTCAGGAGTGGAAGCGCACAGATTTTCCAGCATTTCTTCTGAGCTCCCGGTCACAACCCAGCCATCTATTTTTAGCCCGGGCCATACTTTAAGAGACATTAACCTGGGATGACTCACCCAGACAACAGCTCGGCTCCGGTACAGTATGTAACCACTAACTGCCCTGCAGCTCACTGAGGCAGATAAAGGTGGAGCTCAGATGATACGGCTGATATCATCCGTCCACGTCAGTGTCTGTTTCAGTGCACCATTATGTGTCAGTCAGACTGTCTGTCAAAGTGTGAACTTGTGTGCATTAATGTGTGTGCACTCAGATAAGCACAGCTGGCAGCTCAGAGTCAGACCAGAATAACTCACCTCCCAGGAAGAGGTTGAGCTCACACTCCAGGTAGTCAAACATCTCTACTGTCAGCTGGAAGCTACAAGAAAAAGAGAAAGAAATGATCAGTTTACATGTTGGTGCGCACACAGGTCTGTTTTTGTTTTATCACAGCAGCAGCATTCAGAAGCAAAATCAAGAACGTCTTTTCTCTCACATTACAACAGCTCTAGTAAATTTTTTTAAAATTATATATTATGTGTATATATATATATATAGAGATTTCATATTCACTCTCGTGATTTTCCAGTTGCTGATGAGTCTTTTCCTTGTTTTCTTGAATCAGTGTCTTTATTTCTAAATGCTCGATTGCATCCTTCCTGCATTCTGACATTTCGAGTAAAATATCAAATATAAGGCAAACCTGAGACTTCATAACACAACTTGGGAATAAACTTGAAGGATTACGAGTTGAATAAGGAAAGATAAGAAAATATACCTCTCTAACACAATTCTTTTGATCTGACTTTGACTTTTGTCAAAACCAGTTTCAAGATATTTCACTTTTTCAGGCCTCTGAAAATCCAAAGAATGAAGGAATTACGTAATCCACGCTAAACCTCTGCAGAGAGCTCACACTGATTTGTGTTAAAGCAAAACCTTACTAGCACAGTGGGAGAGAAGATGTTCCCAGAGGAAAATTCTACTGCAAAAAGTATGCTCTTCTATAGCTCAGGAGACAAAACTGTGAGTCTCATTTCAGCCTTGTTTTAGCTGCGATTTTGTAAGATATGTAGCTCAGTTGAGGAAAAAATGGAGCCAGAAAAAATTGAAACTAAAACCAGACTGGGAATCACAATTTAGTTTCCTGGGCTATAGAAGAGCAACTATGTCCAAACATTTTTTTTTCTCTGGGTTTTGTTTAGCATACTGTAGGCCACAAAGCTGATCCGTTAAGAGGAACTTTTCTATCTGGCCTTTGGGATATATGAGGTGCAATCAAAAAGTTCAGACACTGTCCCTGATGCATGTATGAAGCACATCATGGTCATATGTGGAAGCGATAACTACCATTCAACATCACGCGATCAACAGCGAGATCTGTGTGATGCTGGTTTTTGTGACCGCTGGTAGACGCGCATTTGCAAACACCACATTCTGCGTCAGTCAGCAGCTCAGAGATGAGCCAAGCTTCACGTTGATGATTGTCAGTGGTGACAAGAGGTGGGTCCGTGGTCACGACCCACAAACCAAACAGTAGTCTTTAGTGAAACAGTCTGGAGAGGTCAGAACATTTTCTTCAACATTCATGTGGTTGTGCACCAAGAATTAATCCCCCAGGGTCAGACTGTCAAGGCAAGAGTTCTACAGTAACCTCCTGAGGTGTTTGAGGAAGAACACTGGGCACAATTGACCAGAACTGTAGCTCGATGGCATGTGGGAGATTCAGTGCTCGGTCACAGCACATTGATTACATGTTTTTAGCCACAACAACACAATCGTCTTCCTCCACAAGCCCTGCTTCCCAGATTTCTTTTCTTCCTCATCCCCAAAATGAAATACAGGTTAAAAGGTCGCTGTTTTGACACTCTTTCAGAGATTCAGCATAGATGGCACTTTTCCTCACTTATAAATCATGACTGTCAGGGAGCGTTTCAAATGTGGCAGGAGACCTGGGAGCAGAGCACTGCTGCACAAGGTGACTACTTTGATGGGGAAAGCTGCCAAATTTAAATCAGGTTTTTGTTTTTTTACAGATGCAGCTTGTGAACATTTTGATTGCACGTCGTATGTCTGAAGATATCATATGTGATTGTGTGAATTTCTCAACTGCGACACTGTAATCACTACGAACAGCTCCATTTGGTTTATTCATGCTCGACTGTCGGGTTACGACTGAGGTTTTTCGGTTAATTTCACTCATTATTATGACAATCCCGCATCCTGCTCGGCAATAACGACACCAGTCGAAGCAGCAAACTCACAAGTTGTTGACGTCATTCTCTCCCGCCTCGTCGAGCTGTCTGTTTGACATCTGAAGGTTGCCGGGGAAACGAGGGTTCTGAAACAAAAGACGACAGGACAAAGTTTTAAATTCAAACCACATCGATTAAGCTCATTGTCCACCTGACGCGAGATCATTAGCATTTACTGGCAGAATCGGATGTTTATGAGCCTTAACGTGCATGTTAAATTGGTATTTAGTCAAGAAAGTGGTGGACAGAGTCAGTAGGATTAGTCAAAGATAGTACCTGAATGCCTCATGTTTGATAGCTGCTCTTTTATTTTACTATACACAGAGCAATTGTGACTCTCACACAGTGCTATTTTATCTTTACTTTTGTTTTTACACAGTGCTTTCTTACTTTTTTATTGTATTTGATCTTTATTCTGTTTTTCTGTAATGACTTTTTCTTATTTTTGAAATGACGCTGTGCTCTTTGTTCTATTGTGCCGCTAATCCAAAGAACTGCTACACTGCCTTTCATTGTTGTTTAACAATGACAATAAAGATCTATTCTATTTCAATTTTGAAGTTCTGAGGAATAGTTTGCTATCTTGAGTTTTGAAGAGGCTGAAAAGGCAACAACAGCAGTCAAATGCAGGAAAAACTTGCTACATATGCAAATATATAGATAATACTACTGACCAGAATAGTTTTATATAAAGGTTCTGAACGCTTCTTCCACTGCTGACCTGCATTTTTTTATTTATTTATTTATTTTTTAAACGAATCCATTTGAATCTTTCAGGTAAATATATTGTTTGGACTTTGACTCACAGTTTGTTCATGTTGATCACTGTATGTTCTCTCTTCCCAGCTGAATCCTATCAAAACAAACCCCTGGATCTTTATCACACAGGCTGTACATCTGATGTCTGGTATGCTGAATTCACATAAAACTGCAGCATTAAAAACTTTGCAAACGATTGTGAAGCTATTTCTCCACTGCCTGAAAGGTTAAGTACCCAACTGACACTATCTGAAGCAATGCCATATGTTCATGATGAGGGCGTTTAAGGATGCTAAAGAAACAAAAACAGAATGCAGATGTCTTTATATGGAATATTTTTCACATGTACTGATTTTATTTAAGATATAACGCTGAAAAAAAGAATCTGCACCATATTTCTACTGAATCATCCATGCACAACATGCCTAATGATGACTTTAACAGTAATTCTTTCTAGCTTGGTAACTCTTTTCAGGATAAATGTTAATGTTAGAGTTTCAAAAATGAATTAAATGTTGATTTATTGACCTTTGAGGCAAAAACTACATGCAACAATATTATTTTTTCATGCACTGTTTTGAGATTTTGATCTATATTTCTTCTATAACATGTCTCCTTTCAGATAAGTGAAACCAAAAACATCCAAAATACACATTCATGTGTTTATTTTACTGCACTTTGTCTTTTAAAATCTGAAGATTTTGATTACAATACGTAACTTTAAAGGCTGTGCTTTAAAAAAATGAGTTTTTCCTCTGAACCTTAAATCTTCACTTCAGCAGCACTTACTGTCCAGATTTATTCCCATCTACAGTATATTCTGAAGGTTTTTACAGAGGAGCTTATTCATACATCATTCACAGACAGATTTGTAGAATATTCTATTCCCAAAAACACAGGGAAAATTGATTTTTAATGGTTGTTTGCAGTAATTTTTGATTTATGAAGTGATAAAAAGAAAAATCTCTTGGCTCAAATATGTCAAAAAAATTAAACAAGAATTTTGATAGTGGCTTTATCCAGTGTTCACATTTCTGTTGGCCAAATGTGTGTCGATGTCATTAGTTAATGCCATAACATTTTAGAAAACTTCTCATACAAAAAATAACTGTGTGTAATGTAAGTATTTAGCTGGTTTTATCTATTGCTTAAAATGTTTACCTTGTGTGATGAGATTATGCTTGGGGACACGTGTAGGTTAAAGATCGGCCGGCATTGTGGTGTGTATCACAGCAAACATAGCAAATATTGGCATCAAAGAAGGGAAATAAAAGTCCAGAGAAAAAAAAAGATTTATACGCCCAAGTGTCACATTACTTCTTTAGTTCTCGAGCTGCGACTTGGCAAACTGCCCTCTGAGACTAAACCCAGCCTTGGCTAAGAATGAACTTCCAGCCTTCAGCGGAGCAACAACTAACCACATCTTCCTGTGATAACATCGGTCTGTCGCTCCCCCCACAGCTCTGCTCAGCTGTCTCATAAAAAGGCTACATTACAGATTCTTGAGAGGCCATTAGCGTAAAAGCTAACAGAATTTTCTATGAGGGCCCCCTCCCGCTGAGACTCGCTGGCATTAAAAGGAGAGTCTGAGACAAAGATAATGAGTGATGAGGGAGGCTGGCGCTGAGTTTTATAGGCCAGGCCGACTCACTTTGATGTGAAACTCCATTTTGGTGATGAGCAGTTTGAGGTAGATGCTGCACAGCTTCCCATAGCCTTCACTAAGGTGACCCTGTGGGAGAAAGACAAGAGAGAGAGAGAGAGAGAGACATGATCAAAGGAAGAATAAAATCCTTTTTTTTTCCAACCGGAGGCCTGAAGTGTTCACTTTTTAAAGAACAAAGAAATGAATCAGTTGGTGTTTTAAGGGAATTTACGCTGCAAACATGCAAACGAAGGGCGAGGATGTGAACAAAGGCACCGTCATGCTGCAGGGGGGAAGATACTCTCACTTCTTCCTGCTCTAGAGTTGAATCTTGAGCCTCAGTTCACTTCAGTCTCTGTGAAAGTGTCCCTGTTCTGCCAAGGAGTTAAAAGGGAAGAAGAATATCTGCTGCTATTTGGCCAATTGCCTCTCGCTTCCTTTTTTCCTCAAGCCCGGCAGTGCGGGTGGTAATGACATAACAGGAAAGCGAGGCCACAGCCCCGGTCACAGTGACCAAGCTTCCCGTATCCTCCCTCACAGTGACATCGGCAAAAAACGAAAAAGAAAGATCGAGGCCTCCACCCTGTTGCTTAAGGCATAACTGAGGAGTGACTCTTCAGATTCTGTGGCTAAATGGATTACACTGCACGCAAGTTTACACAATAAACGCCGCAAATTTCATCAGAGGTGTTTGCATGAAAACTATAACGAGACTTGTGCTCACATATGTTAACAACAATGAGATTTTTCATCGACACAAAGAGATGTTTGATTGCTGGCTCTGAAAAATCCTCAACAGGTAAGAGCTGGAATTCCCCACAAAGAAGCTACACACCAGCTTTTGTATAATTGCTGTGTGTGAACCACAACATGAGGCTGCTAGACGATGTGCGGTGAGCTGTGGCAATCAGTTTTGGCGTGTTTTACGTGACTTTTGTCCATCAGAGGCCGCCGCGTCTGTCACTCCACTGTGATGGCAGCAGACTGACTGCAAACAATCGTGCAATCTGTTGTGATGGACACAACAAGGAGGGCAGTCGTACTCTGATGCTCATCAACACAGTCCTCCTCAAACTTAAGCATAAATCCACAAAAATCTGATGTTGCACAGCCGCTTTCAGACGCACACCATAAACCCCAATTCCAATGAAGTTGGGACTTTGTGTAAGACGTAAAAAAAAAAAACAAAACAGAATACAATGATTTGCAAATCTTTTTCAGCCGATATTCAATCGAATACACAACAAAGACAAGATATTTATGTTAAAACTGATAAACATTCCTCAGCTTTCCCAGTCTTTTGTTGCGCCTGTCCCAGCTTCTTTGGAACATGTTGCAGGCTTCAAATTTAAAATGAGTGAATATTTGCAAAAAACAATAAAGTTAATCAGTTTGAACATTAAATATCTTGTCTTTGTAGTGTACTTGATTGAATATTGGTTGAAAGTTTTTTGTTTAACGTTTTGTCCCAACTTCATTGGAGTTGGGGTTTTGTAGTTTCTGGATCAGCTTTAACACAAGTTTGAACTACATGCAGTCACATTAACGAATAGTACACAAGCAACATACTTCAGGGAGTGTAAAGCGATGTAGGAAAGGCTTTCTCCACGTTTAGGCACTGATATTTGCCAAAAAAAACATCTCAGGGAGTTCAAAAGACAATGTTTTTATGCTAAAAGGCACAAAATTCTTAATTATTCACTTTGTTCTACAATTTTACATTCATTAACAGCTGAAATGTCCATAAAAGTATAACTTTAACGCAATTAAGACAGACTGTGACCGATTATTGAGACTACCTTATTATTCAATGTAATCAAGGTTTTGACAAAACATTAACAAGAGCTCAAGTTTAGTTTGTTGCATCCAGTTGTTTGTTTTACTTCTGATTTAACAACTACAGCATCAGACAGCAGCAGGATCTCCAGAGTGAGAAAATTCTGTGGATTTATGCACAACAGGAGTAACATCATGAACTACTAATAATTATAAGATATCCCCGGCATGGAGACAGGACTGATTAAGATCTATTGGCACATGAAATATGCCAGAATTCATAACATGAGTCCTGATTTCCACCACAGCTGTCAGGATATTTTAATTTTACTGGTAAAGAAGCGGATTATCATCTCAAATGCAGAGATTTTTCAGTGTTTAGGAAATGACAAATTAAACAGCCAGTCAGTTATCTGGACAGTCTTATAATCTCATTGCTAGTTCAAATTTAATCTTTTGTTTATTAGTGCATTATTATTCATTATGCATTATTTGGTGACTTTGTAAGACAAATATGATTGCATTGTTCTCACTGTTCGAATGAAGCTGTGAGGAATGTCACATCATTTTGTACGACACATTGATAAAGCAGCAATGTTACGTATTCCACGTCTGAAGAGGGTTTCAGTGAACGCGTCACTCAGCCAACCGTCAGCACTGATTCATGCTTTCTTCAGTTCAGCACTTCCTCCAGCCTGCTGTGAATTGGAGCTGTTACATTAACTTCAGTAGCCTGTCCCAGCACCGTGCGGAAGGTTAATAGCTCAGCTGCCTATTACTTACAGCCGAGTTATCAGATTATGATTGCTTCTGTGGCTTTCTTGTGCTTTTAATACGCTTCTAATGTGCTGGGGATCACAGCTGAGCTAAAAGAGGTGCTTTCAGTCACCAGTAAGTGGAGCTTTGCTGCTAAAAAGCTACTGGTTCATTCAGAACAGTACATTCACTTTGTTTATGCGCTGAACACCTCTACGCTCCATTTATGAATACACTCGAGAAGGTGTTTCATTCTGCTGTCATAACCTACTCAGACAGGATTAAAAAAGTTGAGTAATAAAATATTTGCCCACGTCTCTTGTAGTAAAAGATGTGGTTCCAAAAGCTATTTTAGATCCTGCCAGGGTACAAAAGCTGGTTTTATAAAATAAAATGCTATTAGTATTGCTTAATGTAATTATTTAGCTATAATGCATTTAAAGGCAGTTGAAAACAAATGAATGTTAATCTGATTTAGTTTGCTTTTTTTTTTTTCTTGATGTTGGAAAATGGTTCTCTTATTGAGCTGATAAATCTCAGTAACCATAAAAAATATGTATAAAGTCTGAGAGCTACACTTGCAAAGCTTTTGTCCAAATGGGACCTAAAATCACTGACCAGCTCACGTAGAACTGAAGTTACTGATTTGATGTATAGACCTCTCAAAGACAAAATTATAATATACTGATTTACATTATTTGATAACCAAAAATCTTTTATTCAACTGCCTTTTATCATCAAATATTTTAAAAATGACTCATCAGGAGAGAAGATTAAATGTGGCATATGGTCATACGGCATCGACATCAAATAATAATCATCGTTTCTTACCCACATCCTGCTCATATCAGTTAAATCAGCCTTGTTCCTCATGGAGTCCTTTATCACCTGGATGGACAACAGTGGAAACAGAGAGAAGAGAGCAATATAAGTAATTAAATGTGGACAGACTGAGGTTTTCTCTGGGTGACTGTAAAGACATATAACACAGAATCTTCAGAATTCTCTACATCTAAAAGCAAATCAGTTTTCAGGGCAATAAACAGGAAAACTGATTTGCTTCCTGATCTACGTGTGGAGAAATCAAATCGTCTTTACGTACGTTTGGGTGTCCGTCCCGCAGCAGCTTGTGGAAGACGTGGCAGAACTTCCAGCAGAGCACGGCGTTGCTGGACAGAGGAAGCCGGTTGACGGCCGCCCAGAAGGTGTGGGCGCCTTTCTCATGATGGGTCCCCAAGATGCAGGGTGACAGCGACAGTCAAGGATCCCTGGGTTACAGGTCGTGGCATTTTTATTTGTGTAGCGTTCAGTGTGGCTCATGGCTAAATGTATGTTTGAACATTACCCTTTCTATGTCTGAGGCATTTGCTCTGCAGACTGTCTGGTCATCCACCTTAGTGTCTTTAAAGCTTTTGATTTTCACTCATATAATTCTGAAATATTCTTTATAATTATTTTTTACAAATCTTTACCATCTTGATATCGAAAACCGACATTTTTAACATAATTTTAAACTGACTTCTTGCGGCTCTTGATGCAAAAAGGTAATTGCAACTTTAAAAGTCATCTTACAAGTAATGTTGACAGCTCAGAAAATCTTTTTGGTAATTGAAAACACCAGCAAAGAGGTGATTATGAGTTCATTTTTGTAAGTTGCGAAAGTGTTTGTACTGCCAATTCTATTTTTTTAAGAGCCAGACTGTGTATTTTGACAATCAAAATAAATAAAAAATATTTCCCAGATCTCTTTTTGGAAAGCTTAAAAGCCTGAGTCCTTTATTCATCTCGTCCTCTCTGCAGGATCTCAGATTTGTTGTTGTTTTGTCCTCTTTAGTCTGTTTGATGAAACAGAAACAGAAGAAACGTCTTACCGTCTGTGCTGCTTTGCGTTTTATTTCACACACGACTAAATCGTCTCTGCACCAAGGCCACGTGCGCAAGACGGGGTTACACCGAGTTTGTTGTTTTGATCTGCAGACACGGAGAAACGACTCCGTACACGTGGAAATACACACACTTCTTCTTACACGCAACCACACATAGACAACGTAAGGATATTCCTGGCATGCTTCTCTTTGACAGCGACCTCCTGTGTGTTGATGGCCTTATTGATGCTGACAGCCTGTGAAGAGGAGGAGAGGAAGGGCAGAGGAGAGAAAAAGAGAACACAAATCAGCCCACAGCTTTTGTATTCACAGCTTAGCAAAAAAAACCAAAAAAAAAAACATCAAGTGTCAAGTGTTTTCATTTTAAAAACTTGACATCCTTCCACCTTTCAGAAAGTTGCCTTTTCCCCTCTCTATCCACCTGGGGAATGGGAAGCAGCAAAGTTTTTACAGGAGGGTGATTGACCCATTTTCTTCAGAGTTAGTATTCAAGGCAGCAGCTGAGAGGCCTGAGCTGCTTTTGAGGAGCTCAACAGCCTCACAGGCAAACAACTGTCTCATCGGACGACACGTATGCCATCACACCTCTCTTTACAGGTGTCAACCACAGAGTGCAGCGAGGATGTGAAGAAAACTTCCCGTGTCTGGTTTCATCGTGGCATATGGGGATCATAAAATTGCAGAAAAGAGTAGAAACAATTAAGCATAGAGAGCGTAAACAAAGAGAAACAAACAGACCCGAGGCATTTTGAAGCCAGAAGCCTGCATTTCCACATTTCCAAAGAGCTACTCTTTGGTAAACACAGTAAACATTAGGACTGTAAGCAGACGGACCTAATCAGATGGCACCAACAACTACTCATGACTAGATGAGCAGGGGAGTATCTGTCTGTGCTGTGAAATCTACTGAGGAATGTTGGCCGGGATGAAACTGAACCCCTTCCAACTCAAATTAAACCATCGCCCAGCCTATGTAACAGAAACACCTTTGAATTCTGCTCGAATCGTGCAGACAAACACAGTTTAATCATTTACAACAATACGCCCAGTGTGCAGTCAATCATGACTAAAACATAGCTGCTGCAGTCATCTTTCATATTAACAGGCTGAAATGCAACCACGACTGGGTCTAATGAGAGTGTTTGATGCTGCAGATTTGGCCGTTTTGACAAAAATTCACCTGACAAGGAAACAGGGACGACTGTTCGTTAAAATCCAGTGTAGAAACTACTATTTCAAGAAAAAGTGTCTACAGCCATGTTAGCAGCACTTGAAACCACAGAGCTTAAATGCCATATTCATGAGGTGTAATCTTTACCATGTCCACCATGATTGTTTTTTTATCCAAGCATTTGCTAAATGGCACTAAACAAAACAGAATACAGTTGAAGCTCAAGTAAATGTATTATCTTGCTCATCCTTATTAAGTGAAGTTGGGTCATGTGATACATGAGTCATATTGTTTTTCTTTATTTTTTAAGAAAATAGGTATTTTCTATGTATTTTTATGTATATATATATATATTTCTATGTATTATTCTATATCATATTATTGTATATTATTATTATTATTACATTATTTATTACATTATTATGTATTGTATATTATGTGTTATTCTTCATATATTTCTATGTATTATTTTCTTATGTATTTTTCTATGTTTTTCTATTATTATTTCCATTATTCTTGTTGTGTCTTGTTGTTGCTATTTTTACTTGAGACTGTAATGCTTGTGTGTTGATATGTTATTGTCTGGACCCCAGGAAGACTAGTTGACGTCTTGGCGTCACCTAACGAGGATCCTTTTAAATAAACAAATACACAAAAATAAACAAACAAATGTCATTATTTTTGTGGGTTGCTGATCACTGGGGACAGGAATTACAAAGTGATAACTCTTGATATGCTACTGTCACAATAACGATGGTATCACAATAGTGATTCAGTATATTGCAGGATCATGTTCTACGATACATCATAATATCTTTGTAACTAAAGAACGAATATAGGCCAAAAAAGGCAAAACAAAACATGTGTTGTGTATTTGTTCACCACATTGTGGTACCACTGCATGCGTGCGGACTTTCATTATTATTTAGCTGATAAGTGCCACCGGTAGTAGTCAGTGACTCCAGCAAGTCAAACTGATCATGGAGATCTGTTTAGAGCGCCTGTGTTACAATAAATATTATAATACAATCATATCAGTATTTGGTAACAGTGTATCAATATTTGACAAAGCGTTGTGTAGAAAGGTCTGGCTGCACCTCATCATCACTCTCCTATTATTAAAAAAATGCTCCAGGTTGTTTGTATTTCTTTAAACCAGTCACAATTGTCTTAGGGGGTACTAAGCCCAGGATGTAGTTATGGTGCCCCTCAAAATAGTGATGGAGGAGTTGTTGTCGTGAAACACTTGTAAAAAGGAGGCAAAACCTGTCATTAAAATGACTAATTACCTTTAAAAAAAAAAAAAGCGGCAGGGTTGTTTGTCACAGCGAAGGGGAGTTTGAAAATGATAAGATGGAAATAGACGAAGGAGAGGAGAAAGCCGAAGAATTACACAGGAAGTATCGTAACGTATCCCATAACGTATACCCACAGTCTACATCTGCTGAGTCAGACTATGAAACGAATAATGTTGAATCGAGGTGGTTGCCATATCAATATTCTGTCCCACCCACATCGGCCTAAACCATCTAATAGTTCTTGAGACATTAAATCACTAAACCACTAGTCAAGGCTGGTTTGAGAGGACATATCAAGAGATGTCCAAAGTCATAAGGGTTCATCCTCTGGCGAACATGAATATCCCATCCAATAGTGGATGAGATATTTCAGTCTGGACCAAAGTGTTGGACAGACATTAGATCCCAGCTGCTAGCAGGGCTACAAACCCTGCCCTGGTTCTTGTGTGAGAGGTTTTCTTTATGTCCCCTCAAGGTTACACCGGGCAGCTAAACAGGAAAAGCTGTAGGACGAAACAAATATGAAAACAAGCCCAGAAAATGTTCCTCCTATAAGACCCTTCACTGAGGGTTTAATCCGTTTCAGATGGTTTTCAAAACAAGGTATTCTGAAGCAGCATCTGGCTTGCATATCACATCACACGCGAGAGGAAAATCAAACCCAGTAAATCATACAACTCAAACGCCGACACGAATGGAGCCAGAAATGCCAGCGTTCAGTAAATACAGCCAAACCGTATCCTGTTCGCTGTCGCGGTATCGTGAACCACGAGTGTGTCGGCTGGGGTCAGCAGAGGACGGGAGGCCTGTTTCATAATCTCACTTCCACAGATGTCCTGAGTCTGCTCCTCCTCTTCCAGTATGTGAGCTGTCAGGACTGGAAGTTCACCGAGAGGAGGCAGGACGAGGGAGAGAACAGAGGAGGAACAATGCAGGAGCACTGGTTACTATCAGAACAGGACAAACTCAACACAGTCTGACACAACTCCCTCAACAAGAACGTCTGAAATATTCCACCAGGTGCCGTCGGCTGCTTTGAAAGTATAATGTCTGAAAACTAAGTCCAGACAATATTGTCTTCATAACCATAATCCCTTCCAATACACAGCCTGGAACAAAAAACTAATTTGGGATTAGAGATAAACAATCTGGCTCATAATTTGACTCCTCAAAACAACCACAGACAATCAAGCGTGTCCTTCACACACCGTCACTCTGAATGACATGTCATCACCAGCTCGAGCGAGTTGGCAAACACAAGTTTTGTGTTTGCAGAAATCTAATTTAAGAGTGAAATTCAGGTTAAGTCACAGGAGCAATTCACTTAAGCAGAAGGAGTGTGAGGAAGTGAGGAATTCAGGGGCTGGCTGCCTGATTCACTCACATATAACAGACTCTAAATTTCACAGCGTCCACCGTCTGTGCTCAGATCATAATCCTGCTGCTGACGAAAAGACATCGCCGTGTGTCGTAAAGGCTGACACAGGTGATGTCCATTTAGTAAATACGAGCACTGGGGCTACTAGTCCAACACCTGTTCTGCTGCATCAACCTAAGTTGAGACTCTGGCTCTATGGGACAGAATTTTAAAGGTCAAACTCAGCAGGTCTGACATCGTCCTGCTCAGCCGGAGCAGAAAAGAGCTCAACTAACGCTGTGGTCAAACCTGCGGTCTGCTTCCTCTGATAGAGACCACGAGGGAAAGGTCAGTGAGGTAAAGTTGGACATCTGCTTTGTAAGGAGTTACATTTTCTGTCTACAAACTCGTACGTGAACTTGTTATTGGACATATTTTTAATAAAACCACACAGGAGATTTGGGGAGCTATGGGTAGCATTGCTGTTTTATGTCTGCGACAATGAGCAGAGATGGACCGTCTTATCTCGGCTTCATTCCTGCTGAGAACACTGGTATGAAGGAACTCCTCAGAAAGGCTATCAAGAATTGTCTTTTTCTATAAACGTCAAGGAATTTTGAAGGAAGCTTTTGAAATGCAAAATGCAAATTGGGCATGCTTCATTTAATTACTATGGAGTCTTCAGAAGGTGGTGGAATACGCGATGTTAGACCTGGTTGTATCGGAATGAAAGAAACAACCAGTAAAAAAACCTCACTGAAGGACAAGAAACACACAAAACTTTGACTATGTCCAGAGAAGTCTTTAATAATTGTTTACAATCTGCAAAGCGGTCATTATTATTATTATTAGCAAGATTTGGTCATGTTTAATTCTGTCCAGAGGCAAAGTAGAAGCAACCAATCGATCACAGGAGTTTAAAATTCACCACGTCAGAACTTATTCCAAAAAGGTCCATCTCTCATGCATTCAAAAAAGGCAAAACCCATCTCAAGCAAGCCGAAAATCTTTTTTGCAATAAGGTTTTTAAAAATTTAGTCATTTCCATTAACTGTTTTTTTAATGCATATGAATGGAAACATGGCTAATGATACCAAATGTTCTCTGTTGCCACTTAGGCTAATGTCATCAAGGATGTGACTCAGATTTGCTTTCTCCAGATTCTCTAAGAAACATAATATTAGACGCTCCACAGCTCAACCATAACGCCAAGAGTGACTCAGCAACAGCTAAAAGTCACATGATAAAAATTCTGAGACTTTTCAGTTGAATTGCCGGCAGTGTTTACCCAGAGCAGAGAGGAGAGAATTATGGAAACAATTAAAAAGTATAAATAGTAAAATATAAGTATAACACCTGGCACTTGCTATATATATATATATATATATATAGTAATTCCAGCTTTTCAAA